TTGGTGGCTTTCTCATATCCAGGAGTAATCTGGGCAGGCTCCTTAAAGGAACACACACATATACACACACACACACATACACACACACAGAGTCCTGCTTTTCACAGTTGCTTCTCGAATCGAGGGCTACTTCCTGTTTCAGGTCTGCAGATGGGGAGACCACACCGGTGTCACTCAAGACACTACGCAATCGGTCTTTTCAGAGAGAAAAGGGAAAACCTGAAATGAAGCCTCCAGGTGTAAAACATCGCACTTGGCAGGACTAAGCAAAAGGTACTGCGTGGACTTCTGGAATCTAGTCGGACATCATGTCACTGGCGCAGAATTGGCGATCCTACAGGACACGCCTCTTGCACAGGGACCCTGCGTGCGTGATCACCTACAATCAGCGGTTCTCAGGGTCTCCTAAACAAGCCTGTGATGGACTAAACGGGAGAAATTTGCCTTCCTGCAAACATCCTGATAGGTAAATTTCCAAATTATCCGTCACGAAGTCTCGAAGTCTCGCATAGCTGAAGGAGTAACAAACTTTTCATTCCACCTGCCAAATAACAGATGAACACTCCCACGTGACCCAGAAGAGCAAAACCCCGTAGCAAGCTGACTCAGTCAGCCCTGGGGGACACACTATTTATTTTCATGAGGTCCCAACGGATGACGGCGGAGAGTCCAGGGCAGCCAGGCAAGGCAGAGCCCCGAGCACCTGACGGTAGTAAGCGCTCCTAGTCATCAGAATGAAGTCCGTTTCCTGGGCCTGTCCTCTCCCGGGCCCCATCTGCTTTCTGCCAGTCACCTGTTGATTCCTGTCACCCGACCCCTGAACCAGGCTTTCCACCGGCAGAGGCTGGAAGGGCCAGGAGGCCCCACCAGATGGACTGAATGCTCTGGCTGCCACTTGCCTGTTACAGGATTAAAGGCAACTTCCTATCCGCTGGTGCCAGCCCTGCCTCTCCACAGCCACCACCCACCAGCCCTCTGCTGCTTCACTTTCTAACGGGCCTTGGCCCGCGCATCTGATGGGCGATCAGCCTCATTTCTTTCTAAAAGCCAGAGATCACCGTGAGCTAAACCTAAGCCATGCCTTGCTCATTCATGGTGTGAAAAGTTCTGGTGGTGTTTCCCACACGTGAATGCTGCACCCGATTGAACAAAACTGGTTACAGGCAAACAAACTGTTCCACTGGAGGCAGCTGTTAATACGCTAATTATCCTCTTTTAAACACAGACCCGCCTGGGTAGGAATTACAGACTTTGCATATGGCACCACAAAGACCAACATATAGTTATGAACTTGTATTTGCGTCTTAGTAATGCAGGTACCTATGTTAATATTTTAACAAATATCCTCTAATAAACTGACCCCCAAGCCATGGTCTGTCTGCCCCTACCCCCCCAAAAATCCAAAGGCCACAGGTGCTGTGTGCAACTGTGTAGAGAAACTGTAAAAAAGTGCATCTTATGAAACAAAAATCTAAACAGAACAAAATGTGCCTTTAGCTACAGGGTTGACCTGTAGCCAACAAGTCCTGGTGCCGAGAAACAGGGTTTCACACACCTTTCATCTCACCAGGGGCAAAGGAAGCACACTTGATTTTCAGAAGCCTTGCACCTCGGTCACCCCACGAACAAAGCCCGAGTTTGAACAGTCTTCTCTCAGAACCACATACCTGCCTACCCCACACCACAGACCAAGCCTGCGTGCGCCTACTTCCCTCTGAGGCAAGCCTAGAGTCCTGAGAGTTGGTTTACGAATGATACAGGGGACTTAGCGTCTGGCCCTCATGAACTGTAACCCATGGCCAGGAATGAGGCATGAGGGGTACCATGGGGAAAAACTCTCTGTCTGGGTGTGGTTATCCAATAGCCAAAATCTTGTCCAATTCTACTTCCACAAACTTGCTCACTAACGCTGGAAGTCTGTGACATTCGATGCCAGTTTCAGGTCAATAGTCAAGTACTGATTTAATGCTAAACTCTCGGAAAAATCGTCTCATGTTTAGGCAGGACTGTACATGGGTGGGGACAGGCCTCTCTGGCACTCAAGTTGGGACCACCTACTGGGGCAGGAGAGAGCGGCAAAGTGGAAATCTTACAGTGCTGAGTCATTACAAGCTGTCTCCTCTGCGCTGTTAGGCACCCCTGGGCCTTTTGGGCATCAATATCCCCTTTTAGAAGGTAACTCAAATAGACACGTAGTGCGAAAAATGATGCGACCCTCTTGTGGGCCAGAGACAACAGTGGGAATTTAGGTCTAAGCGTGGGTAGCAGGAACTACACAAACTCACAGCGGCTTCCCAGGTATGGTAACTTTATTCCAGCCGCCGAGATGGCTATTGGGACACAGAGCGGGGATGGTCCCCCACCTAGCCCTGTTGAGATCAGACCACACTCGGGCGCATTTACTCTAAGCTAAGCCCCCCCCCCCTCCATAATTGGCGGATGGAGAAAATGATGCATAATGGATTTGTTCTCCAGGCGGATGCAATGGAGAGTCGAGGACGCCTGGTGCTAACTGGCTTTTCTTCCCATGTGCAGGTCCCCCGAAATCCGCGATGCCTCCCTCCCCAAGGGGGGGCCCCTCAACTCTCCCTCTGGCTGCACTTTCCAGAGGGACAGGCAAGGCTTCCCGCCCACC